AGGGAGGGAGGGAGGGAGGGGGAGAGAGAGGGGGAGAGAAAAGAGAGCGAGAGTGGAATAAGAAAATAATGAGATCAGAAGGCTTCTGAGTTCTGACTCCAGGAAAGAAAAAACGCCTTCAATTGAGAATGATACTGTGCAACACACGGAGGCTTGAATAGTTGTATCAAATGTGTTACGTTGTGTTTACGTTACTCCAATGATCAAAGTTCGAGTTCAGGACGGGGGAGAGATAAAAGGGGGAGGGGGAGAGAGGGGGAAAGAGAGGGGGGAGGGAAAGGGGGTGAAAGAAGGGGGTGAGGGAGGGAAAGGATACAGGAAACGGAATATTTGATTCCTCATTACCGTATTTTTGAATTTTTAGCAAGATACATTTTTTTATCTTTGACAGGTTTCCATCGGTACGTGTTTTTGGTTTACCAACAACCGACTGGAAAAATAAAATTTGACGAGCCTCGTTTAAATAAAACGTAAGTAAATTGTAATTTTGAATGCTAATGAGGTATATATTTCAAAATAAATGCACAGCAATGTATGAAACTAATTTCCGAACAATACCTATAGCTGAATTCGACGGTGGGTATAGTTTTTTGTTGGCGAATCGTTGCATGAAAAATCAATCTGTATCATTAGCTCACTCTCTTTAGTCTCGATTTTGTTTGTTTTGGCTTCTATTAAAATTGTATTATTTTTACTTCAGAATCTGTATAATCAACAGTTTCCTATTGCTCATAGAAATTAGGAACTTCAATATTCCTAGCAGAGAGACGAAAAATTCATGTTAAGGTCGACTCACGGAATCGGCATAAAAAATTCATCGGGCTCAATATGCCTCTAAAAATCTGGCTTTGCTGTGGACATCTTGTGATCACCGATGACATGAGACGCATAAAAAAAATCAATGCTTTGTTGATATCCTACGCAGAACATCATACTTCGTCATGGAAAGGTTTCCAAAAATATCGTAAGTGTCAAAAATAATAGTTGCCGACTGAATTGCTCTCAAAATTTCAGGTTGAATTAGGAGCACTTTACGAGATGTGCATAATTGGTTGATTCCTCGTCGTAGATATATTCACGATCACCTACCCTCTCCAGAATTTATTTCTATAGAGAAAAAAATAAACGGGATAATAAGGAAGTAATGTTACACTTTCGTTTTCACAGATATGGTAAGAAGATTCGAAGGAATTTTTGTATCCGAGAATTCGCCGTTAAATATGATCTGGAGTCTCCCATCGCAGGAAATTGGTTCTTCACTCCGTGATGTGATTATTTAAGCTTGTAAAGGTATGAGGTGAGGACATTGAAAATAAATGAGAAAAATAAAATCCACCATAAAAGGTGATTTGCCATTTTTTCGATTTTTTTCCGTAGGAAACACCATGATTTTCTTGAAAAAGGACTGCTTTTAAAGGAATATTTTACGTCTTATTAGCTACGCAATATTTCCATTTACTATTTAAAACTCTTATTGAGGTTTTTTCTTTTTTTTTTTTTTTTTTTTTTTTTTTTTTTAATGAGAAAAGCCAGTACTTGTTGCAACGTCTCTTTCCTGGTTGATTTAGCTAATGCTCAGATTTTGAGGTTTCTTTTATTCATTTTTTCTGATTTAATCAAATTTTGATGATTGATAATATTGATAATCTACGGAATAAATTCCCCTAAAATTACTCATACAGTGTGGTTTTTGAAACAGTTACTAATGGATCAAACCATTCGAAGTAGCCGTACGAAAGATTTCATCAATAATGCTACAATTGATTGCTCAGTAGTTTCCGAAGTTCCTCTAGAGAAAATATAAAATCCAATCAAGTCTTAAGCCTCTCAAAAGAGATTTTTAACGAGATTTTAATCATCTATCAAAAACGACATTCTCAGTCTTTTTTTTTTTAATGTTGACATCAAATGAAGACACACTTCGCCGGTAGTAAATATAAATCTTGCGTTTAGGTTTCAGTAAAAGATATTAAATGATTATTTTTGATGTAAACTGATCAACGTTTCCGCAAATTCTCGGATGTATACATCCATTATTTGAAAAAATGTTGCTTTGAAGTGCAGAGTGAGAGTTACATTTTTAAGCTTTTAATCTTTTCAGTGCGTGAGTTCGTCCTTTTGTTTGTTCGGGTATTCTTACATGACTGAGATGTGCAACTTAAAAATGACACGAGCAGAAAACGTCGACATTCTCTGCTTTGTATCGTGACTACAGATCCTTCTCTCCCTGAAACGGATAGTTTTGGTCTTTCTTTTTGTCCCATGGTTAGTTAGAATGATGGGAATGGCATCTTCTACGGATAATCGTACTCATTGAAATAAAATCTGAAGATGAGTTTTCTCAGAATTTTTTGGACAGCCACTTTTCTGCCTGGAGTGCTCCTTTTAGAGTTAAACACCTTGGATCCATTCATAAAACACGTTCTAGACAGACAAAAGAATAAAACATACGAGGAGCGTGAAACATCTATGACTGTAAATGACATCGTCGGAGATGTTATTGAGTGTACGCCGCAATTTGGACTGAGGGTACGTCGATTTTTATCCATGGTTAATTTCATGTTTTTTTGGTTTCATTGCAGCTTTTCCCAGTCAAAACTAGCTAATTTAGAAGAGTTTATCAAATATATATTATTTTTCTCATGATAAACAAAATTGTTTCGTCTCCTTTGGGTTTTTTGCCGTAATAAAAAGTTTGAAATGGTAGCTTTTATTGTTTATGGACATTTACTGTCCTTTCATTCTAGTTTGTAGCGTGTAAGATAACATCCTTTAAAAATAACCCAACCAAAATAAAAGCGAGTTTTCGAAATTTTGTTTGGACTTATTCTCATAATACGTCTTAGACATTCTAATTAGCGGTACCTGTTAAATAGCTACATACTTGTGTGTGAGCATCGTAACTATGTTAGTGTTTGTACTTTGTTTAGGTAGCGTATTTTAGTGAGAACATTGTTGACTACGGCAACATCATCGACTCCACAGACTGTCTCTCGCCACCGGTCGTGGTTGAGTGGCCTGCTGAAAAAGACGCGTACTATACGCTATCATTAGTTGGTAAGTGTTACTTTTCCCCACCCTGCGTTTAACTTTGAGATTTTTTTTTTAACACGAGTCATAAATTATACAACCTTAATTTATTTAACAAAAAGGTAGTCAAAGTAATAATACATGCCGTTGTTAAATCGGATTGTTTACATCACGGCAAATCAAGCACGGCAACTGAGAGGTTACCTTGATGCGGTTTCTCCGGATGGCACCGCACTCTATCGGCAGTAGTCTACAGTTGTAGATCACATCCTTCCCGACAGAATGCATATGCTACATGACTTGATACACCGATTACAGAGTGAGCTAGAGGGGAATCTCTGGCCGGCGGTCGCAACACGAGATAACTCGTGCGTAGGCCCGGGAGTGCGCTATGCGCTACACGAGTTAACTCGTGCGTAGGCCTCAAAGGGTTAAACAAAATTCAATTTCTATACGAATCAAATGATTAGTTATGACCGTCATTCATTTTTATGAAATGCAGTTTTTTAAGAGGTATCGGTCATTATTGTTTTATCGTATGGATTTTCCCATACTAGCGAGAACCTCAATTGAGGAGAGTTGGATGTGGGTAAAGAAATCAGGCCTGTTGTCAGCGCCACTACCGGTTTCACGCTTGTTAGCGATCGTCAGGTGTGCATAGACAGCCAGTCCCGATTTGAAGCCCGAACACTCTGAGATGCCGTGCAAATCAGAATGCCAAACTCCGGCGGGAACCACACTAGCAGCGCGGCTCACGCCCTCTACCGTTAGCCACCCAACAACTCCTAAGTTTTACTTCTGGCGGCTGCCGCGAACGCGACTAAAAAACCAACCCGAAGGCCTCCATACGGAGGAAATTTGAGCAGTCCATTACGGACATTTTGCTCAGCACGTTCACGCCTCTGTGCCTATACGAATCAAATGATTAGTTATGATTAGTCTATGCACACCTGACGATCGCTAACAAGCGTGAAACCGGTAGTGGCGCTGACAACAGGCCTGATTTCTTTACCCACATCCAACTCTCCTCAATTGAGGTTCTCGCTAGTATGGGAAAATCCATACGAAAAAACAATAATGACCGATACCTCTTAAAAAACTGCATTTCATAAAAATTCAATTTCCTAAACACGCTAATAATAGTAGGTAACTCAAAATTTTAGCTAATACGATCAATTTGCTTATCTCCAAGAAAGAAAAGCTAGTCAATGAGTTTGAAACTTTATCCTCATGCATTTAAGTTACAGCGAAAATAATCACCTTAAAAGAAAATCGAGCCAGACGGATGGATAGAATTTTATAATGGATGGGGGAATATATAATCACATCCACGATCTGCGATTCAGGAAAGGTGTTGGAGCGCACAATAAATAAGTTGTGTCACTTTAAAAGTCTGTGATTTCTGGACTGAGACGGAATTTTTGACACCTGACTTGATTTTTCCGATTTACTTTCAATGTTAAACTAAGTAAGGCGTATATATCCTCCATCGCGATTTCAATGCTGGTCAAATTATTTCGTGTGGACACTGTACAGCAGTCTCAAAGCACGAGCGTGATAACATAGCTGACAAATCCACCAGAGATCCTCATTTGCCTTATCTCCCTTCGTCTGTTTCCTTGCCAGTTGCCACCACAAGGAAGTTCTGTTCCTCTTAATACAATACATGACAATTTTTGCACCAGATTTGCCACATCGTGCATTGGTATTACTCATTTTGATGTTTAAGAGTTATTCTACTGCTCTTAAGATCAAAAGTCGACTACGTGTAAAATAATTTTTTGGATCTAAATACCCACACACGTTGATCAAATTTCTTAAAATAATAAAATCTCACCCACAGGTCCTGATTACCCCTCCAGATATAATAGGACAGAAAACACAGAATGGAACTATTGGTTGGTTGCTAACATCTTCGGAAATAAGTGGTCAAAAGGAGAAGTTCTCGCTGAGTATATCGGACCTCACTTATTCAAAAATCTAGGTAACCGTTGCAGTTATGTTGTTAGTTGTTAGTTAGGATTAAACTAAAAATAATAAGTTATTTTAAAAAGGATGAAAAAGAAAGGAATACTGATAGAAATCGTGCATTTTAATGTCTCTGAAGGAGAGAAATACTTTTTTTTGGAAGTTTCATCTTTTTGAAGGTCACATAAACTGGCGTTTTCTCACTTTTTCGGTTCATCTTTCAAATGTAACTCCCCGCATGAAGATTTAGTAGAGTCAATTTGACCCGAATTGGGATTTCTAGGGGTAGTCGTCAAAATAATAATTCCCAACACGACACAACTCTTGCCCAATTTCCCAATGTTCAGACTTGCGCCCTTTAAGGTGCTTGTGAGATATGTAAAAACGTGTTTTCTCGTTCCTCCCAAAATAATTATTATTATTAAGAAGAAAAAGAAGATATCTCTGTTACTATTGAACGTAGAAAGTTGCGGTTTGGACTAGATCTTAATATTTTTAGCTCATCCACAAGAATCAAGCATCAAAACACAATTATGTGACCGCAACTGACCCATTTGGACATCATGGTATACTTTAAGCAAACTTAATCTCAATTTTTCTCAAAGTTCAAAAATACGTGACATCCCAACGCGCGTTGATGACAGCGCAGAGATGCATCTATTCGTGCTTGATGGATGTCTGTGTGGCATCCGCAAAACTGAAGGCGCGACGGCAGGATGCACTCGAAATGCTCCGCTGTATGCTGCCAATAAGGTATCATTCCGATTTGGGTTAAAAGTAAAAAATAAGATGTGATTACGTCTCTCTTATCGTTGGCTGCGTTGTTTGCTTAGCCCTTGGAACACCACTATAAAAATAAGACAAACGGAACCAACATGCCATGAATATGGAGCCAAGGAGAGGACGCGCGTTGATAACGGCGCAGAGACACAACTATTCGTACTTGGTGGTTGGCCGTGTTGCATCTCGAAATTTGAAGGCGCGATGGTGCGAGGCGCGAAGTCAGAATGCTTCGCTCCATATTGCAAATGAAGAAAATTTAAAAAACTAGATCTTTGGTCGTGTTGACATCGGATTTTTTTACTTTTTTAAGAGTTAAAATTCTAAAGGTTGCTCCGTTCTGTGAAAGCTCTTTTAGATCGTGTCCTTTTTAGGAAAGAGAGGGAGAGAAAAGGAGGAGAGAAAAACATATGGAATGAGGATATATTTCATATGGAATAAAAAAGGAGAGGGAGTTGAGAGAAAGAGAAAAATAATTTATCTGACCCCTGATTATGTTTTCTTAGTATAATAATTGAGCCTGTCGTATACATAATACACTCTTTCACCTTCAATAGGTTTCCATAGGTACGTGTTTCTGGTCTACAGACAGCCAATTGGAGCAATGAAATTTGACGAGCCCCATCTAGACAACACGTATGTAATGTTTAATCATGAGTTCCCATAAATTAGGCATTTCTACACAACGTACATCCATCTAGAGGATATTAAATTTCTATAAGGATGAACAAGTTTGAACGCACAAGTATGCTCCATTCTTTTTTGCCCTCATTTTAGGATGTAAATTCACCGAGTGAGAAGAGAACCGGAGGGGATGAATTCCAATACAAAGTTTCACCGCAAAACATCTTTTTCCATTTATTAATAGGCGTGCGTTTGACTTCGGCGCTAGTTTTTCGAAATTTTTGTCAGGTTGTATATGAAATTCCTCAAAAATTTCCATAGAAAATTTGCAACTGTATCTTTTAGAGGAAAATAATAAATTGACAAAATGAAACTCTGCTACGTTAAGATGCAATTCAACCTCGCTGACTCTCTATCCTTCATCTATTTCATTTCCTCATCCTCCTTAATTTCCAGTTTTTTTTTCGACCGCTTGTAATTTATTGTATTCTAAACCGTAGCTCATAATGATCAAGGGTGACTAGGTGTGTCAAAATCAAATCTCAAGGAGTATCGCACAGTGAGATAAAAGGAATACTTGCCAGTTGCAGTGAGTCATGAATGTAGAATTGGCAAAATTTGGTGCATGCAAGTATAGTTTAAAGAAAAATTTCAACTTTTTTTTTTACGATGAAAATTGTCAGATACTTGTTGTCTACTTATTCTCGATTTTTTTACTATCCGCGAGGGGAGCGAGAAAGGAACAATTGAATATGCAAAAAATTATTCTAAATTTCTATTTTCTATTTGTATTTAAATTCTAATTATTCTAAATGCTAGATTTTGGTGAAACATTTAAAAAATCCACTACACAACTCCTTTTATTGATATTGAGGATGAATTGATACTCTAGTTTTTGACCTTTCATTTTTACAGAATTGATGACAAAGCACGAGGGAAATTTTGTATTCGAAAATTTGCCGCCAAATATGGATTGGGGTCTCCTATAGCAGGAAATTGGTTTTTCACTACCTAGAAGTAATGGTTTAAACACTCCGAAAGGTAACGCAAAAAAGAAAATGAAAATAAATCCCCATACATTCGACCAGTAGGCGTTACAAACGTAGTGCCCTCTTATAAATCTAAAACTTCATTGATTAGTCAGTCAAAATTTAGGCAAGGCCCACAGCTAATCTTGTACTAATACAAATCAGTTACCTACAGTTCCGAGCTGTATACGAATTTGTTCCCGTAGTTATTTTGGTGTTGCGGATTTCTCCTGAATTTAAAAGATTAATCGTTGTCCTTAACTTCATGTAATATTGATTGAGTATTACTCTCTTGAGAATTTATGTACCACATTCACTATCAGTAGATAACTCAAACTGAGCCTTCCATCTCATGCATGTAATTACACTGAGATAAAACTTCTCAGAGTAGAAGCACGAAAGATGTTATCAGTAAAATGGGGAAGAAGTGCTTGAGTTACCAGCGTCACTCCTTAAAAGAGGCGTTTGACACAGTTATAATTGCAGTTTAATCATTTCATACCGCCATGTAATTGTTTTTTTTTAACATTTTTTGATTTTAGTTTAATTTATTTTCTTGTCAGCAGATGACAATGGCGCCGTAAGGCGTCGAAACGTCCTGCCTTTGTTTTTGTTAATTTTTTAGCCTTGTTACAGCGTTTTCTTGTTTCTCATCGTTCATTGTTCTTTTTTTTGGGGCTGCTACTTTATTATCCGCTTTATAGTCATAAAATTCACTATCGTCATTCATTTCCATCGAAGATTTTGGCTCTTAAAATGAACTATGCATCTCATACGAAAGCTAACTGATTGAACGCCTTTATAATTTTGGCTTCGGTTGAAAGCTCTATTGTCGGGGGAACATATTTTATCGAGTTTAGGACTTAATAATGGACACTGTAAAAGTTTTCCTTCCGTGGTGAAACAATCCACACTCCCAAAAATTTTCCGATGCATAAATGAAATACTTAAGACACACGTTCGAATTTTAGTGTGGAAGTTGTTTGGAACTCTTTGTCAACTTCGAGTTGTATTAAATAGTGTAATGGTCTACGATGTTTCATAATGTTTTTTTCAGTTTAAGTGTGGAATTAATGATGCAAAAGTAAATAAGGATTTTTGCATGGTGCATGCATTAGGTCTTACCTTTTTACATGAAGAAGTATCATTTAACTCGTATATATTTTTTCAATATATACACAAATGTCAAAATATGGATACTTCACCATTAAATCTAAGTACAGGTGCACCAAATAAGAGAAGCAGGGAGTTTTTGCAATAGTACAGTAAGGACGGATTTCAACGAAGATCAGCCTGACTGCACTTTACGTTGCCAAACTTCCTTTAATGTCTCGTCTTGTTAAACAGAGAACTAACTAGTATAACGCCTTGAAACTTCCTCCGAGTTTGCTTTTTCCTTTTGATGGAAAGAAAAAGAGAAACAATTAGTCAACATATATTGCAGGGAAAAAAGATCCAACACGTTACCGATCTTTTGGCGTGACCCCAAGTCAAATATTCTGATGAATATGCCATGAGCTAAACACTCTCCCCCCTCAGTCTTGTACTGATACCCATCAGAGGTCAAATGGTTTACCACGCTACTTAAAAGTTTTGAATTTTTTTACCTTGCTTTCCCCGCAAAATAGTGTGCACCACCCACCACGAATTTACTTTGATGTTATTTTACCACTTATTTTACCAAATATTTAACCAACTATTTTACCAACTATTTCACCACCTATTTTACCACCTTGTAACGTTTAATGTATAGTTAAGCTTATCTTGATAAAATCCACCTTAACTATACTGATCTCCGCTTCAAATTTCAGATCCATGGGGGTGTCCATTTCTATTTTAGCAAGTGATGATACATAGTAGAAACTGGTCATGCATCATATTTTGGCTGCACGTCGCGCTATTTGTAGCGAAAGTTCAAGTCAACGGCCAGAAGACAACAGTGGGCGAGACCACCTCCACTCTGACGACACATCCCACGCCACCAGATCTTATTCCTCGGTATGCCGCGGCCAGCCCGCAACCACCGTCAAAGAGACGCCGCAGAACCATCCCCAGATTTACCACCACCGAGTCGAACACACCCCTAAGACTCACCGACCCACCTTCAACATCTCCAAGGTAATAAAGGTGAACAAATGGACCGAGTTCAACAGAAAGGAACCAAGCCACATCAGCGATTGACAAGTTTAACTAGGCAATTAAATTTTTTACGAGAGAACGGTTGTTCGGATTTCTTTGAAAATTTTAAGGAATTTGCTTTGCACTATGGAGAAAATTCACTGAAATTTGCACAAAAGTCCGCCCAACCGTTTTCATGTAAAAAATTGTATCGCCCGATTAGATTTGGCAATAGCTGATGTGGCTTGGTTCCTTTCTGTTTAACGCGGTCCAATTATTTAATCTCCCATTAATTTTTCAGATAAAATCACATAAATAGGCTGCGTTTTGCAATGATGAATTACTTTTTCTGGCTCATTTTAGAAGCAACGTCTGCACCAATAGTTTCCCTATGCTGATGAATGCTTTTATGGATGGGTTAGAAATCGTGGTTTCTTATTGAAAAATGTGGTCTTGAAATACTTTAGAATCGTAATACCCATACGATATGGTCATGTGCAGAAAATGGCAGCAGAAAAGCTGTCATGGAAGGTCCTAGATTCGGTTCCTCCTGGAAGAGGACGCTGTTGGCGCCCAATGAGAAAAGGAAGGGATGGGATTGGAGCAGAAATGTCAAGATGTTCGACTTCCGAAAGGTCATGGTTTGATTGGGGTCTGGCGACAAGTGCAGCGCTGTCTGGCGAAAAGTGCAGCGCTATCTCGCGCCAGCCAATAGCGACACCGCGCTGCCGCCATCAAGTGGTCCGATGATGATTGGATGATGAGCGAGCCAATAAGAGAGAAGCGGCAGCGCCGAGCGGCGCGCGTCGTCGCTATTGGCTGGCGCAGAGTCGCGCTGCACCTGTCGCCACAGGGAACAATGGCGGTAGGGCGTCGCAGAAAACGTCAAGAAGTACTATATTCATTTACATGAAAAATGAAAAACGCTACGATTCTATAATTATTTAAGATTGGTTGGGTCTTTTCAAATATAAACATTTCTTTTATTTCCAAATAAAACAGAGACTGAAAATTTTACCGTCCTGATTGCGAATCGAATCGCTAGAAATTGATGAGATTTTGTCAATAATAACATGAAAACTCAACGAGGCCAATTTTTCTTCTCGGGTGTGATGGTAAATATAGTCATGCCTCGGCAAATGAGGAGCAAATCAGAGTGAACTATTATTGTCTAAGTAGACAACTAGCAGATAGAGACAAAAATTAAACTGCCTCGGCAAAGTGCAATCTGCCTAGGCAAACAGCAATGTTTGTTAACTGCCCAGACAAATGACTATACATATGTGTATCGTGGAAATGGCTACTTGCCTGCGACAGGTGCATGCATTGACAAGATTTCGTGCATACTCGACACCAGACATCCAATTTTCCAAAGAAGCCACAATTGATGCAACTTCCTCCTGATGATTTTCAATGGCAAGCCTCTCATATTTATAATTCAAACTTTGTCAAATTAATTTCGTTGATTGGGGAATGCATAAAAAGTTCTCGGAATGAATTTTGCAGCAATGGTTTTACAAATTACCACCCTGTTGCGCTGGAAAAAAAAACCACATTGGATCTAGAGTCCAGACTCTTAAAAACATTGACAAGAAAAAATACTCTTGTATCAATCGGATTTTTGCTTAAATCAAGAACCAAGCCTCTTAATTTGAGCGGATTTCCTTTTGATTTAAGCAAAAATCAATGTGTTTTTTTTTTTTTTTTTTCTTCTTTTTTTTCCTTTTTTTCCAGTACGGTGAAATATGATAGGATCATTTTCATGATTATTTTCTCTCCTGATCAGTAATGACAATATTTTTTTATTACTCTAGGCCAACGAGTCCACCAGCGACACCACTGCGGCTGACAGATCCTCCAACTCCGTCAACAGAACCAGAAACGACCACGTGCAAACTCTCTATAACGCCGGTCGTCCTCGCCCCGAGAAAGGTCAAATCCCCTGAATCGATCCGCAAGGACTGCCAAAATTTCAGCATCATTCCCGATCTGTTGGATGCAAATGATACTGTACCTCATCCAATGCAAGTATGCGCCGTATTTTCTTGAAATATTGTCAGCATTGACGCTAGGGATTTAAAAGAATTGCCATCAAACGTTGAAAAAAATTGAAATTCGGTCACTCGCTTAAACATACATTTAAAATTAAATTCGTCAGTTATAAGATCTTAATGGCCTCATCATCAGCGATCACCGACTGATCGGGAAGCTCTTGTTAACAATTGAACAGCATCATTGATGAAGAGGCCAGTATCTCGAGACTGGTGGGACGATTTCAATTTTTATTACATGTGAAAGTGAGTGATCAAATTTTAATTTTTTAAATTTTTAATTGTTTTATTTTGTGCAGTCCGTTACACATTTGTACGTTGAAAATTTACTTTAGGTTTACTAAAAACTAGTGCTGAGAACAAAAACTGATTCCGGATTTTAAACAGTAGATCGAAGAATACACTGAATACTTGCTACAGGGGCAACTGAGATGGACTTTTGGCGGAGGCCTGCTGGCATCTCAAGAAGAGAGCGTATCCGCAATGTAAAAGTACGCGAGATAATGGGTGTGGAGAGTGACATCGTGCACAATATCAGGTCCAAGCAGTTGGTCTGGTATGGACATGTGCGAAGGATGGCAGACGACCGGTTGCCCAAGCAGGTCTTCGATTGGGTTCCTCCCGGAAGGCGACGGCGTGGACGTCCTGTGAAAGGTTGGCGACAAGGGGTGGAGGAGGAGATCAGAAGGTGCCAATTGCCTGATGGTCTCTGGGAGGGCAATGACGATTGGGCGTCGCAGAGCGCAAGGCTGCGCTATAAAAGCGGCTTGATGTATGTAGATCGAAGAATAATTTTGAAAGACCCATTCATTCTCAAAACATAGAAATTGAGAAATATCGAGCATTTTAGGCGACGAATAAAATTGATTGACTGAAATTAACAGTTCAAACGTCTCGTTTAGTTCTTGTATATTTTGCGTTTTTGCAGGATCGCTACACTGGAAAAAATGTATATCGTGATTTTTCTTTCCACTTTCAAGAATGGACTCTGACAATGTTGTGAACAAATAAATCCTATGTCACAATGTGGAGCACCATTCTATGCATGAATTTCTTGTCTTCCTGTCGAAAAAAAAACTTTTTAATTTATTTTATTTATGCAGGTGAGATTTTTATTTGAGCACGTCGCAAGGTACGGGAACACAATTCACCCCAAGCACATGGTTTTCAGGCCGTATTATGTGACATGGGAGAACAACAAGACAGACTTTTACACTCTGTTGATGCTAGGTATGCATACTAATTCATTTACTAAAAAGAGCGATGGAAGAAGAATTATTTATATTTGAGACATAATTGGACTAGGGACCCACGGGGACACATGGCATGGAACAGGGGGGGGGGGGAAACACGTTAACAAAATGCTACATGTCATTAATTTCACACGAGGTGCTTCGTGAAAAATATCCAAACCGAGTGCTAAAATATAATCAAATTTAAGGCGCTACTTAGTATGTTTCAAGCAGACGAATCCATAGAATCGCAATTTTTTTAAAATGAAAAGATGGAGAAAAATTATCTTAATCACTTGAATCTTTATTATTTCCGAACAGGAAATGAGNAAAAAAAAAAAAAAAAAAAAAAAAATATCGGATGACAAAAATGTTTCGACAATAATTAAATATCCCTTGTTATGGGAAACAAAGAAGCTTAATGAATTTGCCGGATTGATTTGTGCTTAAGTCCATATTTATTTGTTGAAATATACTTAAATTTGTATTTTGTCATTGGTTCTTCCGTTGTATAGACATTGACTATCCATCACGATCAAACCCGTATATGCGCAGTTATCTGCACTGGCAAGTTTTAAATATCAAAGGAGAGGCCTGGATTAAAGCAGAAACTTGGGCAGAATACATCGGTCCAAATCCGTTATACGACTCAGGTATTTTTGAAAAAAAAAAATGGTGTTTTAAAAGACAGTCAGGTGCCCCTTTGTAGACAAAGCAAAGGGTAAGGATCCATAACTAGGATATTTGCTTTGCAAAGACTAAATATCCGAATAATATTGCACCCCTCCCCCCCAAAAAAAAATCAAGTATGAATGTTTTGTTTCTTTGGTTAAAAATTATTTCACCGACATTTGTCAATTTGAATAATATCGATTGATCTGATGATCGACATAAGAAGAAGTGTAAAAATGAATTTGAATTGTTTTTAACGTAAAAAACCATTTTCAAGTATTTAAAAAGCATTTACCACTCATATAGTGTTGAAATTTGGGAGTTGTATACGTTGAAATGGTGGAGATAGTATCTGAATTGTACTAACAAGGTTTTACCCTGAATATCAAACCTTAGGAATGCCAATTTAGAAAACCATTCCAACGTGAAGGGGCACTTTTTGCCTAATTAGAAAGGTATGAAGGCGCACCAGGCCGGAGTCTTCTATTATTGGTTTTTCTGAAGTTAATTAATCAACGTTTCCCCTACGTTTTTCCCTCATATTTTTTTTAATTTTAATCAACGTTCTGCCTCAAATAAAAATCACAATTGATACATGAATTTCTAAACAACATCCCGCTGAATTAACCTTTCTATGCTGAGGCAACTGTATAAAATGGCCTAATACTACGTCTACTAATAAAATTGTCTTTTTTTGGTTCAAGAAATGTATACTAATAGACTTTGAAATTAATTGCAGGTTTACATAGGTATTTATTTTTTGTTCTCAAACAACCAAGTCAAATTCACTTCACCGAATTAAAATATCCTGCATTGTAAGTATTCACCGCAATTGCATTTTTTCCCGAAGTATGTAGAATGCTAAAATAAGCTGTATATACTTATATTTCAACTATAGGTGGTGAAATAGTGATGAATCCACATTATTTAGTAGGAAAAACAAGGCCACAAGTTCAAAAACTTCTATTACAGTAAAAAATGTTGAACTTTTTGTGCTTGTTTTCCCCGCGAAATAGTGTGGCTCCAGGACTATTTTAACACGTTGTCACACATAGCTCGGGCCACCCTTCTTGGTGTTTTTTTCTTGCATAAAAATAGCATTGAAACGTGCAATAACAGCAGGTACTGTTGCAAAGCTTATGACCTGTATCTTACCAAGATGGTCAGATGAAAGCTCCTTTCAGCAGATGCCTAAAATATAGTCTCTCGTTCTCTTACTCGTTCACATTAACTATCAGCGAATATTTGATTACTGCAGTCCATCCGTCTTAAATGATGTTTAAATACGATGCATTTTACTTGGTCAGTAAATCTTTGGACTCGGAACGCTCCTGAAGAATTGTAATCACAAAAAACTTTTTTTACAATATTATTGTTAAGATTAATTCGCTAGTCGCACTATTTGGCAACGCTGGCTCACTCGAGTTCTAGAGTTTCTTATGTTCAACGTGATTGCATGCAAGCAAGACTCACATTCATTGGATTCAATGAATAAATATTTCGTCCATTTGGAATTCAAAGCGCCTGCAACCCGGGCGTACGAATAGTTGCATCAGGATGTTGCCATTAAGAAAGCTAAGGCGCGTTAAATTGTTTCCGCTTTCAACAACGTAATACATAAATTATATTTCATCATGTAACTGCCAGTTTTTTCGACTAGCTAAGCACAATGAAATCTTGTCTTTTTTNNNNCCCCCCCCCCTTATTATTTTTCGTCAGGAAAATGCTCATGGGTGGTTTTAACCATAACTAAACTGACCACATAATTTTTTGTCGTTTTATTTGTTGGAAGAGAACATTGTAAACTACGGTTTTACGTATGACGTACTCCGTGCGTGTTTCACTTTATGACGTATTTACGTACTCCGTACTTTATGAGCATTTTACGTCTTCCGCAGTGCCACGTATAGTCTTGGGTCTTACATGAGAGCAACTTACGTACCTAAACAAACTGATCGTAAATAGAGCCGTTTACAATACATTTCCGGAGTTCCGCATATTGACGGCGTATCTCTTTCTGCTACGTTACAGACCCCCTGTCATGCGTATGCTTTAAATGGAAACCACTTAACATCATACCTAGAAAACTTCCGTGATTTGTCTTCTCTCGTGAAGAATGCTCTGAGATAATTTCAAGCCGTAGTTTTGGTTTTTTCTCCGTAAAAAATTAAACAAGGACCGCAGACTGCCGGTCCATCCCCTAAAATTGTTTAAACTTATTTTATGGTTTAAAATTTTTGTTTTGTCAAAAACATTTAAATACGTACATATATTGAAAGCGCACTTGGAGGGAGGAGGGGGGTGGTTAAGGTAGGTTCAAATAACTTTTAACGTTTTTTAGACTTATTTCCCTGCTTACCGAAGACTACAAAATATAAGGGCAACTCAACTTTTGATGGCTATGTTCTTAAAATTTATCAAGAATATGATGGGATCTAGTGAGTTTTGACGGCAAAAAATGGTTATGAATTTTTAAAACTTCATTTTCCTTCAATTTAAGTTGTAGCTTAGGGTCTACGGTAAGAACAAACAGTCTAAAAAACGTTAAAAGTTATTTGAACCAACCCGCTATACAGTCCTGCATTTGCACTCAGATCGAAGATGCCAAGTTTCATGTGTTTGGGGAAAAAGGAGGAAATGCACGACAACAGGGATCATTAGTTTCTACTTCTATCCCTTCGATTCACTAACATAAAGTCTTGGACGCCTAATGCTTACTAATTAATGTTAGTGATGAAACAAGTATTGCCTCAAAAGGACAGGTTCATAAATTTTTGGGGGCTCAGGATCATAAATCTGACATGAAATTCGGATTCCCCGTGAAAAACTACCCGGGAATGATGTGCCGCTCGCGTCAGGAACGCGTGTAGCGCTGCGATTTCAGGGCGCGTAAATACTGACGAGGAACGACTTGGGTGGTCCTTTGTTTACTCGGAGAACTGGGTCACGAGGAAGAAGGAAAAAAGGTTCGGAGGAATTCGCTAAGCGCCAGGCGCTATCTCAAATTCCTCGAAGACGCGCGGCGCGGCGTGGACAAAAGGAATTGGATCCGAGCTCCGAGCTCGCCAGCTCCAGACAGAGTGGCGACGCGATGGTGGCGGGGAGCGAGCGGGGGGAGTTGTTCTCGAGGTCGCTCCGGATAGTTCCCCTCTTCACCGATAGGTAGCGCGAGCACCTCACCACTCTAGTTTCGGAGTATTGTCTTAGCGCTGCTAATAGCGCATAGTGGCTGAAAGATTGAGTGAAAATTTTACTGGACAATTTAGATGCTAGGTCTGTTTTATGATTAGATAGATCTGCATTATTTGAAATGAATGAATGAGTAATAATTCACTTTAGAATTTCTTTAGCGATGATTCCCTGATGAGAATGCACAGAATGCCATTGGGGACACTGCTGATCTGGGTATCTATTATGCGGTCAACTCTCATACTGAAACTGTTTTGGACTGAAAATTCAACTCGGAAGTATATGGTTCATTTTTTCTTGATTAATCACCTCTATTGACGGAATACTCAGTTCAAATTTGAAGCTAAACAGTTAGTTTATTACCTACTCTTCCCGGAGTAGGTATTGTGATGTGCTATCATACAAAAATGAAGGAAAATCGTAGTTTTTTACTTGTCTAAAATTACTGAAGTTTATGATAGAAGGCGTTTAAGATCTCATTGCATATGCGGAAATTAAGCGCGCAACTGTCCTAAACTGTTCGAACAGTCGCATCGTTGAATACGGAAATTAAGCGTGCAACTATTCGAACTACCGAGTAGGTATAAGATGTAGTATCACGCGAAACTGAAGGAAAATCATAACTTTTCACCTAACCAAATTACTTACTTAATGAGTGTGGGCATTAAGCTTGCACTCGCATCGTTAAATGCGGAAATAGGAAATCATACGCGCAAATATTCGGACTCCGGAGTATGTATGTGATGTGGTATCACACGAAAAGGAGGGAAAATCATAGCTTTTCACCTGTCACAAACTACTGACGTTCATGAATGTAGGTATAATATTTTCATCGTTGAATGCGGAAATCAAGTGCGCAACACTTTTCGAATAACTTTTCCTCCTCTTTTGTCAGATGAAAAGTTGGATTATATAATATGACGCGAGAACACAGCAACTGGATGAAAAATTTAACAAAAACTTGTATCTGACGTCATGTTTTAATAACTTTTACCTCTGCTCCTCAGGTATTTGGATGAACACCGTGCTAATTTTTCATTTCAAACATTTTGGAAAAAATATGACCTGAAACTACATGCAATGAACTTCCTCTCGTCAGAATGCACAGATCAGCAGTTTTCCCATGCAGAGCCGCATCTAAATCGAACACTTGATCTAATTCCCAGAGCTTTGTAGTGCTAAAAAAGACTTAAGCAAGTGAATGTGATATGAGATAAAGTTAGAAGTGAATGAGTGATAATTTCGACGATGAAACATTCATCTAGTCGGGGACTTTACATATTCCACATGGAGATGACCAAATGATTCTAATGCCATGTTTCGGACTGTTTAATCTTCTAAGATATTTTACATGCGCATTAAAGAAACTCTTCAAATTCTGGATATTACGTTATTGTGCATACATTTAATTTGTAAAATAAGACATTATGAATCCAACTGCAACCAAAATGCGAAAATAATGGAAATAATAAAGTATCAAATGCCCACATGGTGCTCCATGCCTCTTTGTTCTGTATTATTTGAGTTTCATCTTTTCTACTAATTAATTGTGAATATTTGATTAAATATAAAATTAAATATTATATACAGTGGTCTCACTATGCAACGACAATCGTTATAATGAGAACCTTTCTATAGCGAGAAAATCGGTCGGACCCTTGAACTTCCTATCTAAAATATAATTATTCCTTCCCGGCGCACAGTGGATTGAGTCAATAGGAGAGGTCAGACAAAGTTTGGAAACTTTAAACGCTTATAACTCCGTTAATACAAAACATTGAGGTTCTAAAAGTGGTTCCATTGGTTTTCTCGTGCAAATTTCTCCTGAGAGCACCCCTTTAAGTTTAAAATGTGACAAATAAACATCAAAATTTGCAGTTTTAGTCAAAACTTTCATGTCCGACTTCTCTCGGTCCACTGTGCGACGTAACAAGCAATATATACAACTATATATATAGATAGAGCAACTTCTCTCTGTAGCGAGCGGCCGTCGACCTGGATCCTGGGTCAAAGTGCAGGCTCATACCAAGGAAGTAGGAATCTGCCCTCTTAAGAGCGTAAACAATGACAACTGCCGTTGGTTACGAGTTGTCAAATCAATGCAGTTTCACAAAAGGTGCAGGTATGGTACTAACCGCTCGTTAAAAAACAAGAAAATTACCTACATTTTATGTAACTTTCTTATGAAATGGCAGTAATCCACGCAGCGTGTGCAAAAACTGAATGGTAATAACAACTAGAAAAACGCTGACCGCGAGCTAAATCGCGCAAACACAGTGCGGTCGGCACCAAACGCTTAAAAGCGCCTACAAGACCGCAAGAATACTTCACGCATTGCGCAAAACTGCAGTCGTCGGTGGGTACATCAAGAAAGTCTGAAATCCCACTCCTTAGCGCCCAATCTGTGTAACTTGTCACAAGCCTGTGTCACACTATCAAAATACTCCATTAAAATGTCAAGGTCAAGTGCTGTGATTGGTCCAAGTCATCGAATAAGCCAATCAAAACGCATGAAAAAGTGAGTTACAAACTACGCAGATTGCACGCTAATAAGGGGTGGATTCCAGACTATATTGGATTTAATTTTCGCTCAAGAAGTGTATAGTTGGTTGTATCTCTTGCTGGCAATAGACCTATTTTTGGGCATTTCTTGCGTCTCAGAGCATTAGTGCAGCTCTAGATTAGGGGTGTGCGGGCTGATCTATGATCCCGAAAATCCTGGATTCCCTATTCAAGGAGCGTTTTCCCATGGCTGTGCCGCTCTCTGTTTACGACATAGAGACCAGTAAAAACAGACCGTGCACTTTGTTTACCAATTCAATTTCATTGTTCTCTCAATGTGAGATTGGTTAATGTCTCCTCCATTAAATGTTAGACCTACAAAATCAAATGTGATCATCGCCACGATGACAGTAATTATGATTGGGCGTGGGCTTGAGGCTTGAAATAGTATTCATAGTTTCTTGATTCAAATAATGTTCTGATATCAAGTTATAAACAGGAGCTACGTAAATTTTTTTAACACTATTGTGGTGATGACATGACAAACGAAATACTCTGCGGACCTACCGTCACGGTTTCAGTATAATTGAAGCAAGTCCTGATTTCATTAGGGTCTTGATGTGTTCAAATTGTTCGTAATTTACAAACATGACCACTAAAGAGTGGTCACGTGTGCAGACAACAAACCATTGATGAAACAGAAGCGGAATTTGTCGAAAACTTTTGGAACGTATCATTCGTGATCAGTGATTTTGTTCTAATCGATGAGGGAAAGTGTGGTCGAATATGGTGAACCTGTTTCAGTGCGTGGCATGTAATTAGACAATTTTAAATTTTTGTATCTCACAAACATCAAGGGATTTGAAGGGTATTTTTTCGTTACATAGCAGTAGATAATGTTATGTATACATCGAGAAAATGGTCCTCAACAGCGGTAGAGGGGGTAGTGATATCGGCCTTTGTGCTCTTCTTTGTTGCAAATCACGATTGCACCGTGCGGACTATGCAAAGAACACCAGAACAGATCAAGACCAACATGACAAGACATAAAATCGTGCCCGACGTTATTGACACATTCCCTGAGATGTCAATTCTGGTTGGTATTTCAATCTCAATAAACATTTTGCTCACTTAGAGAAATACTAAATGACGTTTGCGCACCGTACTTCCTGGATTGTTACCTCCGGGTAAAAATGGTAATCACACTTCAAAGTGTGAGGTGGCAACATCAGAATTTTCTGATGCGCCCGAACTTTTGTGAGCTGGCTATCGGACTGAAAAAAAAGTCTGTTCACAGAGCTTCTGCACTGTTTTTGTTACAGCAACAGAAGTACCCGTTATGAGGACGGAGAACTCGGTACGCACGATCGAAGTTCTGTTCTCAAAACAGAAAAGTTCTGTAAGTATAACAAAGAAAGTGCAAAAGCTCTGTGAACAGAAGGTTCCGTCATTAGCACCGACTATATTTTTGCTTGTACGGCCTCGATACGATGTTAAGGTGCCGAAAAATGTGAATGATGTGCTGGATCAATTAGCACGGAATATCCAAAGTGCGATGAAGTAATTTATAGATACTTATACACCCCATTGTACCTGCACTTGCTGAAGCTGACTATGTTTGAAGTAATAATTAATGAAGCATACTCCCAGATGTTTAACCATATAACTGTGCTATATATTTCTTTTACGACAGTGGTACCCTCCGAACTACTGCAACGATGATTGCGCGTGCATGAACACCATGAAATCATTGTATAGATTGGACTCAAATTCAGTGATCTTGTAAAAATTAGGATGAGATTGACATTCTTTTTTTTCTTTTTTTTCTGCTAGTTTAATGGTTTCGTGTCAAGCACCTTCAGCCAACTGTAGACAATGTTTAGTGTCCGTAGACATCGTGGGATCTCCATGCTCCAGGTTTTTCCAATTTTCAGGGATTAGGGCCCAGGAGAATCTGTTTCAGCAGATCTACTCGTCAATTCCGTGAAAATTAGACGCCACCACCGGGATTCGAGCCCGGGACCTATCGGCCTAGAGTCAGACGCGCTGGCTGGCCACTTGGCCAACCTGGCCGGCAGATTGACATTCTTGAATACAATGAATCAGTTTTTGGAGACTCATGCACTCTACCATTTTCTTTATACAGATGCGTTATTCAGAATTTGTGAATGCCGACCTTGGAAATGAGTTGAAGTATGAAGACATCGAGGAGTACGTTCCTTTAATATCTTGGAAATACGAAGAGGGAAAATATTATACTTTGATGATGCTAGGTAATTTTTACTTTGATTTTTGCAGAATATGAATGTTATTTGTAACCTTTGTTCCTTCTAAATGGAAACACCTTAATCGTCCCAAAATGGCGTGTGCTTTTTGGTCAGAGGCGGATCCAGCAATTTGGCAACACCGGGTCTCCTCCATTTAAACCGATGAATATATATCGATTCTTGGAGGGGCCAGGTGCCCCGACAAGAATCGATTAATTAACATAGGTTTAAATGGAGAAACCCGGTGTTGCCAAATTGCTAGATCCACATCTGAATATGGTATCCAGTGGCGAGGCGTAATAATCGCCTATCGATATTTTCCTATTTGAAGCTATGGTAAAGAATCGATTATTATGGTCTTCGTTGAGAGCGCCCTGATAATCGATCCTTTTTCATAGGTTTGAATGGCAGATCAATCGATTCATCGCAAAGCACATCACGCCTCTGCTGGTATCCTCATTAATTGAAGGCGAGTGCTGCGGAAACTAATTAAGGTAAAACTCAAATCTATTTTGCTTGCACTTTTTTATCAGTTAAAAAGTTGGAGGCTTAAATTGTTAAGTCAAATATTTGGCCTATCTTTTTATTCAAACTCAACATTGTATCTTTGGTCCGCAGAAACCCTGGAGTATGGCAAAAACAAAGGGGGTAATTATATTTGATCATCCGTAAATTCGTCCACTGACCTAAACTCCAACTTTTATGATTTCTTGTTCTCATTTATTACCCGGGCCCGAATTTTTTCGGTCCTTTTCGATAGATGTGTAACATTAATTGATGAGTCCAAAACGCACCACCGGTCTATCAGAGGCGCTAAGCCGAACGTAAATGCAGTCGATACTCGTCGTAAGTAAATTTAAGTACAGTGGAAGGTACAACAAAATTCGGCCCCTGGGGCACAAGTAGGAGAGCAGGAAAGGGGAAACTTCCTCGCCCCCCTCCCCTGTTTTTTGAATCATGATTATTATCAGTGGATTGTTTGAAGTTCTATCCCTCTTTGAAGAAAATTTTGCCTCTTCGGAACAACTTTCACCCCTAAAATTGGTCAACATAGCATCTCTGCAAGTCCCCGCACGTTCTTCTGCATTCGAAAAATAAACTGCTTGAGTTAGGTCGGCAAACCGACAACAGATATTTTACAATATATTAGCCTTAAATGTTATGGTAAAATATGTTGTTAATAGACCCTGACAGTCCGACTGAGCAAAACCCAACTAAACGAAGCTGGGTGCATTGGATTGTTGGCAACATACCGGACCATCATGTAATGGAGGGTGAACACATAATCGAGTACCAAGAAACAAGACCTGCAAATGGCACGGGTGCGTATTAAAAAACATCTGTCCATATAAGCACTTTTTCCTTTTCTTTTTTCAAAAAATGAAGAAGAAAACAAAAATACAAAAGCAATAGGCTATCTCTAAGTCTGTAAAAATTATTTTCCCTGCCCTGTTGAAAGGAACTATACACGAATGAAAAAGAAAGAGAAAAAACCAAGGAGGACGCAATCTTTGGTTTCCATCCACTTGTATATCGATCTTTTACAGTCAAACACGTCCAATTTTGAGCGGTTGGTTGCAAATTCACCACGCTGCAGCACAGTAAAAGCATAAAATATAAAAGAAAAATTAAAAAGCTTTGGAAATCATTAAATTAGACACGGAACCACCTTAATATTTTCAAAACACACGTCATATTTTCCTTTAATACATATTTTTTTTTCATCAATTTAAATGAGACTAGTCCGTGCAGAGCGTGCAAATATTTCAAAATCATGAGTTAAAAAACGCTGACTCCGCGAGTTTAAATATTTGAGCCTAACACAGAGCGATATGCGCACTGGCGCCTACAAACCTAACGGGATACTTCACGCGTTGCGCAATGCGTGAAGTATCCCTGTTAGGTTTGTAGGCGCCTATGCGCGTGTCACGCTGGTCGTCCGCCGCGTCGCGGAGTGCTACGGCGGTTCAAGCAACTATTTCGCGACATAGGTGTTGCACAGTATCTTAGGCGCTCCAACGTATCAAGAATGACAAACTTCCTTTAAGGGTACAGAGCTTTCCTTGCAAAATAAATCAAGATACTACGTTACAAAAAGAGAGTGGTAATCTAAAAAACTCTCTTAGTCCTAGCATCCGCTTTTAATAACGTTTAGCTAGTATACTTTTTGAATTTCATTAGAGAACAATTGGACTCGATTTAGGCAGAAACATTATTGAGTGGACCGTCAAGAAGATTTTATTTTGAATCAAGAATAAAAGTAACTGAATGGAAGCGGGTTCCTGCTTGGTCTAAGTGACTTCTCTTTTTATTTAAGCATCCTTTTTTTCTCTAAACAGGCATTATTTTCTTTATTGATTTATAAGGACATCTTCTCGGCGGTAAATTTGAGAATATTTTTGCCTGAATCAAGTCACTTTTTCCTTTAATCAAGTTCAAAAATCATGATAAACGTTACTAGATCAGATACTTGGACTTAGCAAGTTTTTCGACTACAGCTCCCTTTTTTTCGTCGTCGCTCGATTTAATTTGCGAGGGAACTTCGTGCTTTTGAAAGATGCCATCAATCATGATACGTTGGAGTGCCTTCAATCTTGTATGATACTGTGCAACACCTTCATGGCGAAATAGTAGTTCGCAGCGCCGCGGCACGCCGGCGCCGTCGCGAAGTTATCGTACACAGGAAAAATCCAAGAGCCTTCAGCTGAGGAAAATCAAAAGGTTCATCCGATTCAGGTATAAGAAGATGGGATTTTCTTGAAAGATAATTAAGTCCTGTTGCATCAAAGAGGTATAGAGAGTTTTGGTGAATTTTTCTTCATGGAATTGACGCCAAAATTCTCAATTATATATTTGTTTCCATTTGGTCAACCAAACAAACAAAAAACGAGCAAACCCTCATTCTTCCAAGACATTATACATTTCATCCAAAAACGTCGTGAGCAAATGTTGTTTGTATTTACATGTTGACCCATTAAATTCGGGTCTCAATAATTGGTAAGTGGACTAAAACTCCCCTGCCAAAAAAACGCGTGCACTTAAACTACTTGAAAAAACAAGTGTTCGGACAAAAAATCGTTGACGAAATGTCCTATAACCAAATGCCGTTTAGATGCTTTTGTGATAGGTTATTCATCACTCCCAATAGTTACAGTTTTGATTCTGATTTTTTAATTTTGATTTTAAGGATTCCATCGGTACGTTGCGATGATCTTTAAACAACCTCAAGGGAAAATAAACTTCAATGAATCACATATTCACCAATTTAATCAGTAAGTAATCTTTTCCATCTTGTAAACTCCTGGTAAAATGATTAGTGGGGTATTTAAAAAAACTCTTTTTTTAAAAAACCTTTGCTCCAATCAAACTTCCCGGTGATACTGGACCTCATTGACATGAATATGGGTCAAATCTTGGTCTCCCAAAATTTTACGTGGATCTCAAGCCACCCCCCCTTTTTTTTTCGAAAAACGGGCTGATTTTGAGGATTTAATTTTCAAGCTATGTATTTACAAGTAAGAACATTTTTGGGTGATTCCTCAGTCAAAATGCTTCATTCATCTTTACCTGATGAAAACTGAGTTGCCATGATTCTAACTTGAGGACGCATTCAGGGGAACACGCAATTCTATTGGGCAACTCACAAGAGAATCCGTTTCCTGGTTTTTGCTCTTCATATTTCCTTTCCCTTGGTCGAGAAGTTTCAATGTTTACGAATGATTATTTTTTATTAGTTATAGTATTCAAGCGGGAGACAAATCGTATCCCCCCCCCCTCCAAAAAAAAAGCCGCCGGGCTTAAGAGGGGGAGGGAAAGTCGGCTAGCTACATCCCGCCTAATGTTTTGGAAACTCATTAAAAGCATACTTTTTGAGTCTTTGTGCAGAGGGTGCCATTGGTTAACAGCTTACCGTCTCCTCTAAAATTACTATGTACTCTTAAAATTCCTCCCCCTTTCACAGTCTCCCCCTCCATGTCTCCTCATGCTTCTTGAATTGCGTATTACTCTCTCTACTTCCGTCATGAAAGTTTTGCCGAGATTTGTTAAACAAATTTCATCATGAAAATATGAATTTTTTAACGCTGCAGCCACAACGTAGCACTATAATGATTCATTACGCTCCCATCGTATCACTATCATAATCTCTAATTTTGATCTTCCTGCATGTAAAAGCTACGTACAATTTGTTAAACTTTGTCTTAAATAAATCTAACTTATTTTCAGGAATGATGAGAATGTAAGAGCTAAATTTTCAGCCACAAAATTTGCTGTGAAGTATGAACTGGGAAAACCTTTGGGGATAAATTTCTTCCGAGCTAAGTGGGCTTACGTCGATATTTACGATTATGAAGATGATGATGAGAAGTAAATGTGTTGTTCTTCAAAGTGACTTTCACCCTGTTAAAGCACACAATTTTCACAACAGAGTATGTCTTTAAGTGTCGTTAGTCACTTGATGCTTCTCAGAGAAGCACGCCATGACAAAGCATCACTGAGTCAAACTTTTCTTATAGCCTCTTGTCCTGTGTCTAAATAATTGTCCATGAATACATACGTCAGCTTGCACATAGTTTTTTTATCTAATCTCTTTCAAATTGTTCCAAGTCTCAGGAAACGATGCATTTTGTTTGTTAAATTCAAAATAAATTTGAAAAAAACCGAAACAATTAAGGCCTCAATTTTAATCATTTATCACCGGACTAGTTTTCGATGGTTGCCACTCCTAGTCGAGCAGGGCTGAGCCCTAATTCGTTCAGTTTTGGCATCTACCAAAAACGAGGTAAAGCTTTTTTACATCGTTCCTTGAGCGTAGGCACTAAACTGTTTTTTCCGCGTTAAGTTTGGTCCTTAAATAAAAATTGGAAACTTTATACCTAAACAGTAAAAAATGACTTTTCGCGGGATTGAATATATTCACTTGTTTAGTAAAATATATATTCCGATTTATGTGTTTCGGAAATCCTTCTTTTAAACTTTGGAGAGAAATAAGGCTTACCTACTATTGATAGAGTCTGCATAGAAAACAGCTAGCAGCTTTAACGTAAAGATTCAAAGTAATTTAACCCATTGAATGTCGAGCTATCTACGTTGAAAAAGTTTCGTCTCTTTCATCACAAATCCAAGGACAGATTGAACGAGCAGTGATAAAAATTCGTCATCACTTTAAATCTTTTACTGTGGTCTATTTTTCTTTTTTTATGAGCTGAGAGTTTTGATAATAATGTAGTTTCTGTGGAAAACTAATCATTCAGGAAGAAACACATGGCATCGGCAAAAGTACGAAACCACATATTTCCGTTTGCGATGTCACAATAGACTACTTGTCATACTTTATGTTTTTCTTATTATTTGAAAAGCCAGTTATCGTAATTCGACGGACGTGGAGGACAAGGCGCATAGGTGCAGCTTTCGCTATTTCGAGAAATACGAATTTGAAGTTTCGAAATTACATGGATCTTTATGGCGGAAAGAAAGTTCAAACGGACTTTTATGCTTGAAAATTGGAAAGTGGGAGCGAATTTTTTTACAGACTGTGCTTTAGGACTAGTTTTACTGGAGTTCATTAATACTTCAATTTTTTCAAAAACTGAACTTATGCGCCTTGTCCCTCAAGTTCTTCATTTCTCGAAAAGTGTGTAATTTTTCCTCTCCGCTAGCAGCATATTCTGTAAAAATATCAGAGAGAAGACTTTTTTTTCTTCAAAACATTAAATAAGGACGGAAACTTTAAAACACGGCAATGGCAATACGTAAAACCTCAGCCATCGATATGCTTATGCAGTAAACATATCACAGCCTAGCTACAATGTGTCTTTGGAATAACAGATTAGGGCTGATAACAAAAAACTCCACGTGTATTCAACAATCACTTCAAAAAAGGAAGTGAGAGCTGTAAGGTTTTCATCCCACGCCCATTTGATTAGTCTGGCTAAATGTAAAAAAAAATGTCTGAGGCTAAATGCCTGGTTAAATTTAGAAAATACTATTAAAATTAAAGGATTCAGTGTTTAAACGTTATATTAGCTCAACTAAAAAGGAAATTCATATTATCAGTTTATTTTTACTAATATAATAGAAATAAATAACTGATTTCTGTTGAAGTTCTTGAAGCGAGTTTATCATAGGAAGATGCCAAAACCTTTGTACAGCTGAATCTTGACAAGCGATTTCGTGATATTAGTGCAATTTTTAATTTATTCCAGTTCCATTCCAGTATTTATTCAGTAATTCAGTTTAATCCGTTGCAACATCGCCCAGTTTTTCAACATCCTCATACCGGCACTTATAATATGAATGTAGAGTGGTTAGAGGCATGGAGACTTCTCAGGCTGGTCTGGATCCTGCTGTTTCTGATTTTATGCCTGATTTTTGAGCCTGTGGCAGGAGTGAGAGCAAGCTCTGGCGTGAAGCGAACACGAAAGCCGCGCATCACCACGACAACCGCAGGCCCAACAACCACGGTTAATTTCACGATTCCACCACCGATCATCAGAACTCAGAAGGAAATAGAGGCGGCTATGATCAAGAGTCAAATCATACCTGACCTTTTCACCGAGGCACCAAAAAAGCTCCAAGTTGTATCAGTGAGTTTCAATTTAGGTCTTTTAATCACCCGCGCGACACACTACTTGATCCATTCTTGACCCTCCCCTCTCCTATAACGCTCTCATGGACATATTATATAACCTAGACCGCGTATAAAACTTGACTTCGGTCAAGCGAGGTAAGACAGCTACGGGGTAAAGACGCGCCTTTACGTGAACCGCTGCAACCTGACATGCATGTAGCACCACATGCCGCACATAGTATGTTTGCGGTCTCAAGTTCGCTGATTCCTCACGGTACTACAAGCTACCCAGGTTGCCTACCTATCGTCTCACCAAAAATGCGCCGTCTAGATTGTAGTATATGTCTATGGACGTTCTTCAATGCACTCCTGCAGACAAAATTACGTTGAATGTCTTTTCGAGTGCGTTACATATTATTTGAACAGCCGAAGCTTTTAATTCGGCAAAACTCAATCCGTTGAACAATGTCTACTTCCCCTTAAATAATGAATTCCAGAATCGATCGATTTAAAAACTTTCATATCGTGTGAAATGGCTTCATAAAAGAAATTGTTTGGTTTTCTTTCTATATTCTTCTCGATGGTTCAGAGGAGAAGAGTATCCCCCTCGCAGTATACAAGAGCTATGCAGCTCGATACACGACGAGTTTGCTTGCTTAAACGTACTGATAAATCTGGTTCACCTGCATGTACCTGTAGAAAAACACCGTAAAAAGAGCGGAAAAAAGTTCTAGTTGAGTTTAAAATCATCAAGCGGCTAAAATATTTATGATAACGTAAATCTCATCAAATTTGTCTTAGAGATATTTAAAAGAACTATTTCAATTTGTAATACAAAACTCTTAATATACTGCATTATTTGCGTAAATTCATTGAAATTTTCAAATCTTAAAATGTCTGATTACAGGTAAAATTTGAAGGGAAATCGTTGGCAAACCTAGGAAATCATTTATCAATTCGAGATTTAGAGTATTGGGCACCTTTCATCCATTGGAAGTCAGATGAGTCGGAATTCTACACTTTGATGATGCTCAGTAAGAAGCAAATATTTGATACTTTAGCATTGATACTTGAGTATTTAACATTTTTAATTTTGTAAGAGTGAAGTATGAAGTAAAAAAGGGCTGGTCAGAAATGTTGATATTTTGTAAATTAGTGCATTGTGAAAAATGAGAGCTTATTGTGTGACTCCTTTTCCACTTATGCCTTTGTCAGTCATGATAGACGTCTTACGAAACTTTACGATCTGGAACATTTTCTTGCATGAGTGAACTTGTGTGCTTTTCTTTACGATTGCACTTGCAGAAAACATATGTACATTCCTTTCAGTCATTTTACACCAATTTGAATTTTCTGTGAGATTGTGTTACATCCATAATCGATTCTATTGTTTGCTAGTGAGTGTGTGCAAAGTCATCATTTACAATAAACCATCCTGAGGAAAATCAATGCGTGAAATTCATATACAGTGATTTCTCATTTCATCAACAGTTTCTCGGCGTGTTAACAGAGACTTTACAAAATATTAAATATTTCTGTATACTCAAATAAAATTCTGCACCTAAAGGCATTGCGTAAAATGTGAAAGCTACGGGGCAGATTCCTATTATCAGTTCTTATTCAGAGCGCCTACGATTTATCCAACGGATATTTTGCTCTTGGCTTTTCCTTCTTATTCTTATTCTTCTTTACTTTTATATTTAGACCTTGACGTTCCATCTAGAGAAAACCCATCACAACGAGAGTGGATTGTTTGGCTGATGACAAATATTCCGGGATGCTGGGTCATGCGTGGTGACGAATTAATTGAATATGAGGAACCTGATCCAGAAAAAGGAACAGGTAAACATTTCACAAAGCGCTGATAGACTTTGAGCTTACACTATGTGCTTCATTTCAAAATGAGTGTTTGCGTCCTACATAATTCCGAAAGATACACTACGTGAGAGCCTGAAAGTAGCTCGCAACAATTCTTTCTTTTAAAATAATGGTCATTACACCTGTTTTGATATGTAGATATCGAAACTGCTATTAAAAATAAATTAGTGATACTTTGCAAAACTGGAGGAAGCTTCGTTCAATAAATTAAATTTGCATCACAAAATATCCGTTTTTTTACATCCATTGAAGGATCCCAGACTTTCTATCCGCACTGTAAAACAATTAATTGAGAGGATTGGAGGACATGGCACTGGCACATGAGTGCAGTTTTTGCTATTTCGAGAAATAGCAAAAACGTTTCGAGAAGTTTCGAAATTTTATAGATCCTCATGGTGGAAAGAAAGTTTAACTGGCTTTTTGATGCTTAAACGTTGGAATTCGGGAGCGAATTTTTCACAGAATACCCATCAAGACTAGTTTTATTTAAATTCATTAATACCTCAATTGTTCCAAAAACAGCATTCATGCGCCTTGTCCTCCAAGCCCCTCAATTGTCCTTTTCAAAGTTTCACGCTATAGTTTTTTCAGAGAAAGACAGAAAAAAGAAAAATACTTAGTTGCGAACAAATGAAGAAGAAATTAGTTTGATTCACTGACAAACGTGAGAACGGGCCGTATTGAATTGACTGATCAAGTGACCAACAAAATGCAATGGAAATGAAAATGCTATTCCAGCTTAAAAGATGCCCGTGTTGCGTCCATGAAAAATTGAAGGCGCTTTACCCGCGCATAGACACGATAAGAGCGGCCTGCATTACAAATCACGGACGAGTTGTTCAGGCAATATAAGCTCCTTTGCTTACTTCTCTTACCAGCGGTCTGAGTGTTGAAATCGATAGACAAATCTTTAGACAAAGAAGACAAAAATGGTATGGAGGGATCCTATTGGTGCAAGGGGGTGGTTGCAATGGATAATGAAGGTAGGTAATGGACTAACTAATGGCAACCCACGAGAGGCCCAACAATAAGGCCATAATTGTCTCCCTTGGTCTATAAGAACCGCCCATTTCAACCAATAGGATCGCTCCATACCCCTTATGTCTTTTTGTCCATCGATCTCAACAATCAGGCAAAAAGAGTCAGCTGAATCAGTCGAAAAAAATTCTGCAGAAAAGAGCACTTTTCTCCTCTTAAGTTTACCTCCATAATCTACACTATCTTTCGTTTCAATTCCTAGGATCTCATCGATATGTTCTCCTCATTTATCACCAGAAACAAGGCAAACAGAAGTTTCGTGAATACGCATTCAACCTCATACCCGGTATATTGTAAGTTTTGCCATTCCTTTGCCTCCTGTCACTAAATTATTTGTAATAGTATCGGTTTATGAGAGTTAATGGCACTAAAGAAACTGGTTACAAGACACAAAAGAATAGGTCGTAACACTTTCATTTTGACAAGTGAGGGAAAGGAATATACATACACGTCGGACTGAATAGAAAATATAACATTATACTTTGAGATGTACGAGGAGATGGAATTAAAGGTTCATGTATATTAAGGGTAGTAAAAAACAGAAGGAAAGAGCTTGATGCAAAATCTTCTATCATTACTTCATACACTAACTTTCTGTCATACTTCATTTTTTATACGGTAAACTACCCAACGGCAATTATTTAAAACTGTCGTGATTTTTCTTCTCTATGCGAAGAAAATTCTGCAAAAACTTCAAGAAATGGTGTTAATTTGTTCTCCTTTAAAAAATAACACACAGGCGGAGATTTTCAGACATTGCAAACGAGTTATGTATATGATCGCCGACATACACCGCCGATTTGTCGGAAAATATACAGTTCCCGACACCTTTAAGAAATAAGCTAATGCTGAAAAATAAAATTAGTCCATTCAAATAAGAATTTAAATTGAATACCTAAAGAGCTTGATGCAAAATCGGCTTTTTTCGCCCCCCCCCCCTCTGGAAGTTCTTCAGACTTTGTCTATTGATTACTCATACTTGAGCGCTTCTTTTCCCAAATTTTCAGACTCCCAAAAAATTTTGGGGGGGAGCTAGGGGGGGTGGAAGTCAAAACTTGTGAACCTCGATATCTCTTGAACAAAGAAAGATATCGAGGTCCGGTTTGAACGAAACATTTTCTAAAATTGCATACTTTAAGATTCTAAAGGTCGAAATCCCGATATCACATTTTTAAGTCAACATATGTGCTTTTTTCCAGTTTTTAGGTCTGGAAAATTTCTTTTAAACGAAAAATTTACAAAGATCTCAATTTTTTATTTGAACCAAAACCAGTTTTTTAAATT